CCCTATTCCCCTAAGCAGAACTACGTCCCGGGATTAAATCACTACTAAAAATGACCGAAGGAATTCTGCTTCTACAGTTAGTTCCAATTATTTCTTTGCTTTTCTCTGTATTTTAAAATGGGAAGAAGAAATAAAGCTATGCACAGTGTTAATGAGATAAATCTATAGCTATTTACACCCTTCTGATTTGCTAATTAGTAATTAGTATTTAAAAAATTACAGAACGTAAAAACACAGCAATGTTTAAAGCAAGGAAGTAAAGACACAAACAAATACATAAATAGCCACGAACAGTTGCCTTCACGCCGGTGCTTGAACAGGGTGGAAGAAACACGGTCAAAGGAAGACAAAAATCTCCTCAAATAAAAACCAAAAGGAGCAAACTCTCCACTTTCAACCTCACGGCCCCCGGCCACCGCCACACAAACTGTACGTCAGCTCAAAAGAGTTCCGATCCGCCCCATCGCCCCCAAAATAAAAATGTCTTTTTTTTGGGTTCATTTTATTCCCGCAGGTACAGCAAAGAGCAGATCTCCTTGCTCTACAGATTAAAATTCATAAAGATGTTTTATTAGGAACTATTATGAAATTAGTTCAGCTTAGAACTGCAGGTCTTCTACTTCTTGGTTGTTTTTCTAAAAGCCCGCTATAAAAAATGATCACCATTTGGCAATTGCCACGTTGCTTCTGCCAGAAGAAGCTGTTGATGGAGACCATCCCTTGGACAAACCTCTGTTCACCCATTCAGCGTCGTACACGTCCTTTTCCTTCAGCCAGGCAGGGTATTTTCAAACCAAAAAAAAGTCAGAAATAAATCTCTTCTTGCTTATTACATCACCTATCTCTAATTAAAAGCCTCTGCGAGCACCCTATGCTTCTGCTACAGAATTGCCCCCTTACTCGCCTCGTTGTTGCATTTTACGGTGAAATCTCTTTTAGGCAGAGAACTGTATTTCTGTCACAGCCCTCCCCGTTATCAATTCCAATCTGACCGAGGTTCTTCAGTCGCAGAACACCATCAATATTAAGCAATAATCATGATAATAGCAATTCATATCCAGCATCTCCCATTTGCTTGGCCATCTCCGTTATGTTATTAAATTAATAGATCTGCCACCGCCCAAAGAAAAATAGCATAAAGAGAGAAATCTTATTAAACCAGAGATAAAATTTTAAACAATTCTGGGAACTGCCAAGGCCAGCTTTTGGGCTCTTCCGTGAGCACCGCTCAAATCCAGTTAGCAAACTATCAGGGTTATTTAGTTATTTGTTTTGATTTAATCAGTTTGTGCATTATAAGCGTTTAATCAAATTAATTCTGACTGCTGCCAAGACACAAGAAAAGCAAGAATGTGATCAAAAATGGACTGCAGAATACAATATTCTGGGTTACTGCAGCCTTTTACACGAGCAGGAGGCTGCGTATGGCTCTGTGCAACAGCAGCAGTGTAGTTGTGCCTCAACCACAGATTCTACAGGAGTTGTACTGCAGAAGAACGGGCAAAGGTATTTTGGGGCACAGTCTTGGAAACTGGTTCTTCTGCTTGCAAAACCTCTTTTAGTCCTTAAGATTTAGCAAGTCGAGTTCACTTCTATATCTGTTGTTCCACATTACCTAGATGTAAATATTTAAATTCTATTCAAGCTTCATCAGGATTTGCTGGCGTACGTGGTATCTGTACCTTCCCGTGTCTACGTTACCTGTAGGATACAGCCCCAAAGATCCCCAACTGGTTCCACATCTCTCTCTCTCTCTGACAAAGATCCTCATTTCAAACATACACCCTTAAAATACCTTTTTACGCAGTTATTACGTCACACGCGGTACCAGTTTGAGACCTTAGAAACTGATGCTCTGCATGGTGAGAGGGATGCTTGGGAAGGTCTCGCCTCTCCCTCTCTGCAGAAGATGTGTTTCGGAGCGGTGGTAAAGGCAGACTCCAGCTGCCCATGGCCACCCTTGGCCTCAACCTACAGGTGATGGAGATGCCCTCGCGCTACCGCCACTGTGGCGTTAAGGGACAAAGTAGTTTTGGCAGAAAATAAACCCCCTTGCGTTCTAACACTCCTCACCGAGGTGGGAGGCTAGGGGCGGCTAGGTTTAAATTCTGAGTGATGCCCAATTCACCACTA